ATTTATTATTTATTATTTATTATTTATTATTTATTATTTATTATTTATTATTTATTATTTATTATTTATTATTTATTATTTATTATTTATTATTTTAATTATTTTAAAATTTTATTTATTATTTATTATTTATTATTTATTATTTATTATTTATTATTTTAATTAATTTTAATATTATTTATTATTTATTATTTATTATTTATTGTTTATTGTTTATTGTTTATTGTTTATTGTTTATTGTTTATTGTTTATTGTTTATTGTTTATTGTTTATTGTTTATTGTTTATTATTTATTATCTGTATCATACCAGCAAAAAGCAAGAGACACAGGGAAATAACAACATCCATGCAAATCCAAATCAAAGACATCATGCAAAGCTTTTCTCTACAAATTCTTTGACCCAATAACATAAAAGTTATAAAATCATTATACTCTAACCCATAATAAAAGGACCCACGTGGGTTTAACATTAACAAAAGGACTCCTATGAAAGGACTCAAACAATACACAATAATTCGTTATTTAAGATTAATCCTTGCAAAGCGTCTATCTAGGACTTTTCACATCTTGAATTATTGATAAGTTCTTGTTCTTCATGAGAAATAGAAATGTATTCACTGGGTTCTTACTTTCCTAGATTCCCATGAGAAGGTTTTGAAATTTCCAAGTGTTTCTTAGCTTTAGGTCTACTTTTTTTTATCCTCACTCAAAAAAAAAAAAAAACAACAACAAAAAAAACAAACAAACAAAACAAAAAAAATCCAAAATCAACAAGAAAAAAAAAAGGCACAAAAATACCCAAATAACAACAACAAAAAAAACCAACCAAACAAAAAAGACCCAAACCCAGACCAAAACAAAAACCCAAGAAAAACCCCCCAAAAAAATCCCCAAACTGTCCTGGCTTGGCCACACGATGTATCTTATTTTGATATATGATGTGTTGTATTTTGACCGTTTTTCTCCCAAAATTCCTTCATTACCTGAAGCGGTAATTGGGAGATTCACCCGCCCAATATGCAAATGGACCAAACGTATAAAAACATAAAAACCTGTGGCCCATTGTCCGTTTTTGGGCAGTTTCCTCTGCTTTCAATGGGCCCGAAGGCCCTTTGATAAATATAAAAATACGCTTTAATTCTCTTAGCTTTGTCTGGATTTCGGCAGCGCAAAAAGGCGTCGGGGTCCCCCCGAACTCCGAGTTTGGGGTTCGCAGGGGAGGAATTCCTGCTGCAGCCCCTGGAAAAGGCCCAGAAGTTCCAAACCCCCCGGTGGGCACTGGAGCTCCCAAAAATCTGGATTTTAAAGCAAAACGAGGAGCTCCGGCTGCTGAGTTCCTTTTCTGGGAACTGAGTGGGTATAGTGGCTATGGTGGAATGGTTTGCTGTGTGTTAGATAGATATAGTTATAGATCATATGTATAACATTTATAAAATATATAATATATATAAAATATATAAAATATATGTATAATATATAATATATAATATATAATATATAATATATAATATATATT